CATGTGTAGAGTTTGGTATCTTTTGTTATCAGAGTTCCGTAGGTTTAAAATGGAAATAAATATTTCATAAATTGGAAAGTCAGTTTCGACAGTTTCTTAGCTACAGAAGAACGAAGGGGAATAACTAGTGTCGTACTTACCCAGCACAGAACATATTAAAAGGGTTTTGAAAATTTTGCCGAATTCAGCTCCATTTATCATCTACTTCATCATGCCCAAGATAAGCAAAGGTTGCTCTTAGGATCTATCGCTGCACTTAAATTTGATTCACCCCGCTTGAGAGTTTTGAGTTTGCGACGTCCTCATAAAACGCTTTGGTACGAGTTTGAATTTGATGCAAATCATGATCTGTGATTGCATATTCATGGCGTTAGTGTCCATTTTTATTTTTCTGTCAAAGACGGACCAATAGACAAAAAGCAACTTGCACCAGATGCAGAGCATTGTTTTCTTAATACAATCGAAAAACCTCACGGCATTAAGACAATTTTTGTAGTTGAAGTTTTGTAAAGAAGCAGCTCAAACATAATTGACTTTAAAATGATTATTTCTGTTTGAGCTCTGCTAAATGAAAGTTGTCTCGAATAAACTTCTTTTTATCGACTGGTAGCTAAAGCTATTACGCCATCTGTTCGTATGCATAAAATAATGGAAATGATGATTATTTATTCATCTCGCCTATGACATGCCATACGTTTCAGTTGGTGGTTCTATTTAATTCGTACGCCTTTAACTTTGATGGACTAACTCGCTCATGTGTTAATTAACACGCATTATTATCATGCAAACCATCACTTTTGTGTCCAAATGTTCGAATTACAACATTTTAGAAGGAGCGATGAGGTCAAAAGCTCTGTGTGCAAGACGTTCTTGGGTCATAATGATGTGCTCTGTGGGCGAGACATTCTACTTTCCCAGTATCTCTCCACGCTCATGGAATAATTGATTTTCTATTCTCGAATATTCCCGAGTTAGCTGCGATCTATTTAGTCAATCGAAGCTTGAAGCGTTTTGACCTATCGCATTTGAGCGGTGTCGAGAGAAATTTTCTTGTATAGTCCAGAAAAATTCTTATTTTTACTTCTTCCGTCTTAATCGTACGCTTCGTCATTCATGTTTGTTTATAAATGGGTTTGACGTAACCTAGACTGTTGAAAACTGTCACACACATCTACATAATCGACTCCTTCTCCTGCTTGTCGAAATTCCTCGTCAGTGTTACGTCTCCGCTGTAGTGATATTTGAAAACCAGGCCCATGGAAATATTCCACATTTCTGTCGCTGAGCTTTTTCCTTTAAGTAGTCTACGCTGCATAAAAGTTATTTAATCGTTCTTTAATAATGTATGCCGAATAGTTTATAATCTCTTGGTTTATGCCATTTCCGCCTAACATTGCCTCAATTTAATTCCAAATTAATCGTTGTATTTTTGATTCACAACGATACTCCTTATTTTAGGAATGTGAAAAAAAAATGGTTAAATGTAACGGATCCACAAAAGATCCAGCCATAGGGGTTTTTTCTGTTCTTTCTAAATTAGTTGTTTGTTTATTGATTGAAACATTTACGTATTCATCTACTTATTCATTAGGCAACAACTTTGAATGTCAGCCACTAATACTATTAGTATAATTTGTTACAGTACAATTTAACCGACAGAAAGAGCATTATTTATCAACAAACCTAACTACTTTATTAAACAACTTGTAATATTCCTATCAATGAGCGACTCCTGAAGGAAGTAGAGTAATTATCCTTAAATAAACTTAAAGAAGCCCACTACAAACTATATCTTAGCTCAGTATTGACACAATCTCACAGTTGTCTCCAAAGTTCACCTAAATTAACAATCTTCCACAGTAGCTCTCTTTCGGTACAGCGTTCTGAAAAATCAGTCACTCCCGACAACAATAAGTACTACTGCTACACGACTCAGTCCTTATGTACAAAGTATTCCAGAAAATTCTGGAAGCTTACAACATAACTATATTGGTAGTGTTATTGTAACCTTATTCGAAGGACAGTCGTCAGTATACTGAGCCATTAGAAATTTAAATTGATAACTTGGTTTATGTCGTCGAATCTTGCCCGCATCTATCCGATTGCCGAGAGAATAACCTTATAATCATGAAGAAGTTAGGTTACGTTTACAACTAGTTGGGCGCTTAAACAAAGATGAACAGAATGACCTCTTTTAGCTGCAGATCGTAAATCAGACCGATCGCAACCGACTAATCGCTGTTAACTAAGTGTTTGTACCAAGAAATTGACTGTCTTTTCCGGTTGGCTATATCAACTTATTTAAGTTAAGTGCGATTTCGATTCAAATTTAGCAAAAGACTGCAATTCGACTGCTCATATATCCCCAACCTCACTTGGATTGACCCATGAGCTTTTCCTTGAACAGTTGTTCTTTATAGAAGATGGAAAAACGATATTCATTTTTCTTTTGAATCGCTCTTTGATCTGCAGGTAGACAAGTAATATGAAATACGGTTCTTAGTACTAGTACTCGGATATCTATCGAAATACTAAAAGTTAATAATCAGTTTGATGTTTTTTCTTACCTGAGTGTTTCGCATACAGTGTAGAGCGAAAATCAGGAAACCCTGCAGCATAAATATGATTTCAAGATCATTAATTTTTACAATATGCAAATAAATTAGTTAGATATCTATTAAGATTTCCAAGAAGGAAGGAAAATTGCATATCTTATAATGGAAAAAGAAGTCTGTCTTCTCTTGCATAGTTAACAGCTTTTTGTTTTCAAAATTCCAAAAAATATCATATAACCATTGTAACGGTGTCTCACTTGGTTAGAAAGTAACAAAATAGATATTGAACGATTTTGAGAAATGTCATCGAACACTGACCTGAGCAGAGTTAAGTATGGTGAAGATGTAAGCGAAAGCTTTATGTACAGGCGAGAGGAGACCAAATAGCCACGTGACACCCAGCAAGGGAATCATCACCACGCTTGCTTTGATGCCAATTCTAGGAATTAAGAAAAAATATTCCATAACTTTCGTCGACAATGGATTTTCATCGTTAGATATAGTAAGGCCTGACTGATTAATGAAAGAGGAAGTTTGAGGAATATAGCCTCACAGGAGGCTATATTGTTTTAGTTTTATGTTGTAAATCCTACCTTATTTGCTGAAGATGGTTGTCTTCCCCTGTTGGCTGCAACAAATTGGTCATCTCCCTTGTGACTCGTATGAGTATCAAGATGTTGAGCTGAAGAATACAATAGAAATAAATTGATTATCTAAATATGGTTATCGAGTAGCCAAAGCAGGAGAGGATCCTTGACAGAGACGTTACTAGTTTGGTAACAAGCTTGGGATAAAAAAGTCATTGACAGGAAATAGAACTCTCAACCGGGGGACCTAGATTATGAGCTTCGATTATCTGACAATGAGCTAAAGAAATCGCGAACTAAAGTGTCTAAACTGAATGAACTATGTCAAGTGAATCCTAGCGTTAAATTATATCAATTTACTATCTTCTACTCTTCCTGTTCCTTTCTTCCTGTTCAATGTATTTTTTTTTAGTTATTCTTGCGCGAAAAAAATCTTTATATATCAATGTGAAACAGTGAGAAACCATCAACAGGGGGAAGGAATTTTTTTCTTTATACTATGTAGTAAAAGTTGGATAATTTATGAAGCTATCTTATGCTTGTAAATACACTGTCTCAACAGGTTTTTCTCGCTGTTAAAGGCCATCAATAGGTTAAAATCGACAAGCATCCTCGCAAACAGCAGCTACGTCCAAAGTTTGTTGTGAGTAAATAGGAAAAGAAAAATGGTTAACAATGTGTGGAGTCATATCATAAATATTTAAATCGTTTTTTAAAGAGCAGAGAAAAAAGTCTTTAGCAGCAAGTAGTCCTGGTAAAACAATCACAATCACCAACACGTATCATAAACTCACAATTTCAATGAAAGCTACAAATGCGACGAATATCCAGATCAGGTTGTTAGTCGAGGAAAGCCAGCAACTAAACTCGAAGAAGTGAAACACAGGAAAGAAACACAAATTTTTAGCAAATGAAATTATGCCAATTTCAAAATATGTGCAAAAACAAAACAAACAATTAAATGCAACAAATTAAAAGGAGAAGAGTAAGAAGAAACCCTTGAATTTTTTTCTTACTATTTATCACTCGTGTAGCTTTGTAACCCTTCTTTCCCAGCAGCGATGCCAAGTGACATGGCCACCATGATCACTGGAAGACCTACCCATAGAGAAAGGAAAGAAATCGTAAAACTTCGCTGAATGACAACATCATATTTGGTGATCCGAAAGCATGGTTACAGTCACTAGAGTATGTTGTGAAATAATGGACTTACCCCATGAGATGATGTGATACATATACATCTTGCTGTTGATGTTGTGAACTTTCACAACGAAAAGGTAGAGAAATATTCCCTCTATCAGCATCCAACAGAAAGCAGCCATCAAGAAATACTGCATCAGAGCTGCTATTGTAACACAGGCAGCCTGTGGAAAGAAAGAGTTTTCGTATTCTTATCACGCTCCTTTCGACAAGATATTTACGGTGCAACGGGGAAATTCATTCCATGGATAGAAAAAGGGGCCACTAACTTTGTTTTTCGTGGCGTTTATTCCGGCGAGGAAGATGATCTGTCCAGCTCCAAGGGACATAGAAACACTCATTCGAATTTGGGAGGGAGGTTGACCAACATCTCTGATGAAATAGTAAAAAAAATAGTAATAATAGTAAAAATAAAAAGAATGAATTAGAGAAAAGCAACAACAACAATAACAACAATACACTAAAGACACTAAGCACAATAAAGAAGAGAATTGAATTAATTAAAACGTACAGTAAAATATGGGCAAAGAAATCAAATAAAATTCTGACAGCAAATGAAAGAAAAAAACTCGGTAAATAGCTCCAAAAAAGAAAGTATCACGAGGGAAATGACTAAACCCTAAGCAATTCATAAACAATAAAACCATGAGTTGTTCAAGCGCTCTTTAAGGGGCATGGAATATAATTTGAATTAGTGAGTTACCCGACATGCGTGTTTTTATTGGCATGGAGATTTGCATTGAGATCTCTTTTCTCTCTAGCATAGTTGAGGGAAGTCAAGAATCACCTTACTGATATTCAAATACTTTACTTACGTGAAGCAAGAATAAAGTATTAATGTTAAAAGGATCCCGACGATGGAAAGGCTTAGTCCGACGTAGGTGATAATTTTCAGAACTGTTTCGTCCTCTTCGGCGAGCTGTGGTGGCGATGGCGAGGGCGAGGGCGAGGGCGAGGGCGAGGGCGAGGGCGAGGGCGAGGGCGAGGGGGCGAGGGCGAGGGAGAGGGCGAGGGCGAGGGCGAGGGCGGGGGCGAGGGCGAGGGCGAGGGCGAGGGCGAGGGCGAGGGCGAGGGCGAGGGCGAGGGCGAGGGCGAGGGCGAGGGCGAGGGCGAGGGCGATGGCGAGGGCGAGGGCGAGGGCGAGGGCGAGGGCGATGGCGAGGGCGAGGGCGAGGGCGATGGCGAGGGCGATGGCGAGGGCGAGGGCGAGGGCGAGGGCGAGGGCGAGGGCGAGGGCGAGGGCGAGGGCGAGGGCGAGGGCGAGGGCGAGGGCGAGGGCGAGGGCGAGGCGAGGGCGAGGGCGAGGGCGAGGGCGAGGGCGAGGGCGAGGGCGAGGGCGAGGGCGAGGGCGAGGGCGAGGGCGAGGGCGAGGGCGAGGGCGAGGGCGAGGGCGAGGGCGTGGGCGAGGGCGAGGGAGAGGGTGACGGCGAGTTTTCCCTTGTAGCTGAAAAAGACAATATTTTAAAAACTTGCCCCGTATTCTGTTGTTTGAATTGTATTCCACCGATCAAATTCCATTATGCCTCATTAGACTTTTCTCCATCAGGTGTTATTTCCTTTTAAACAACTGGCATTTTATCACTTATTCGAACCGCATTATCCAATACCAAAGAAATCACATGGAACTGAATGCTACTGACAACGACGAAGGAGACAACGGTAAGCGTGGCACCGATGCATTTTATTTTTTCTTGAGGGTTCTTAGACAATAGAGACAATAGACCATAAATAGTGTGATTTCAGATAATTAGGTTTTATTTTTCTTTCTTTTTGGGTAAAGTAATGTGATATTTTCGCTATTTAAAAGTTATGCTTTTTTCCGTTATAAAACTGAAAGTGTTAGGAACACCAAGTGTTCAATCTCAACCCTCCCAACCAAAATAATAGTTCTTGCATGCTTCGCATGTCTATGTTTATCTTTTCGGTGAGCAGAATATCAATTAAATTCCAACTCAGTTTTGACTATTTTCAAAACAAAAGAATGTCTCTACGCCCCGTTGTAACATAATTATGAGAACTGAGGCAACCCTTACTAACCTCGGTGTAGAATAGTGGTTGCTAGGTCGATCGAAGTGCTCGCAATATTCGAATTAGATGCAGGATGGTCAGTTTATTATGTTCACCGCACATTTTGCGCTGCATTGAAATTAGCCCCTACAACTTTACAGTTCAAACGATTGGATATTAAAATAGTATGCAATAAACGTAAAGGTGATTCCCCTTTGCGAAGAACAAATAAGTCTGCAAGTCTTCTGTATTTGTTTTATAAAACGATAATCGGCATGTCTCTTAACTGACATGAGTCACTAGCACACAAAAGATATCGCAGTTCACATTATCACGCGTTATCAACTAGCAAAGCAATTGGACTGATGATTCTTTGCAATTGGAATTCACTATCAGTTTCGTAACTGCTGTTACTCGTAATAGTGATAGTAACAGAACCGTCTGTAACTTTCCTCCGCTCACAATGTTAAAAGTTAGACATCTATATCGTTAAAACGTTCATTGAGATTGTTTAAAACATATTTTCATTTAAGCAAAGGTAAGTGTAAACTTGATCCTGACTTTTAGAGTATATATATATAAATTCTGTCGTGAGTATCACAAATGTTAGGAAAGAATGTTTTTGTTACGCTTCAGCGCCTCTAGAGCCTTTTAGTTTACTCAAAAGAACATTCAAGAAAAAAAAAAAAAAACAACGACAAGTTAACTCACCATTGGAAATCTCACAAATTTAAGCATGCTGGTTTGTCCAAATTTCCCTATTAACACTACCAAACACGCCCCGTTCGTCATTACTGAACCGCTTGTACATGAAACCAACGTCGTGTTCACTAATTGGCTCCCCTCGTATCAATTTGGAAGCATTCAGCGGTCTCCCACTCACCCAGGTCCAATTACCGTCCTCTTTCATTAAACCAATACTCCATTTATTTTTACAGCTGGAAGTATTCCGCCTTTGAATCTCGTTATTGATGAAATCCCATTCTTCTTCGGTTTCAATGGAAACTAGGTCCCCTCCTTGACTCTGGCAGATATCTCTGTTCAGGTGCCAGTACCATCCATCCACCGAAATTATGTACCGAGAGTTTTTAAAAGTTATATTTGGGCATTCTACAACATGATCAAGATGAAGACAAAGATACTAATTATCACGATGACGATAAACAAAATGATAATTATAATAATGATGATAACATAATAATATTATGATCACAATCACAATAAAGGAGAAAAATGAATGAGATAAAAAACGTGACTTATTCTTTCATTGATTCCTTTTTTCTAACATTATGTTTTTTTAGTGTAAATAAATACAATACATCTTTCTTCGCTCCGGCATCTGCAATCTCTGACCTGCTTTTCTTAATTGGTTAACTTCACATCAGCTAAGATTATCTATGAATTCATGTAATTTTGGTAGTTGAGTTTTTGAATAATAAATTAGTTCCTCGCTGAGATGAGCGCCGTTGCTGTTGTTGTTGATGTCGTTTTAAGGCGTGGATGCGCTTTTGTCTTACGCAATCTCTAATTGACAGGTGTCAGATTGTCACAGATACTTGTTAAAATAAAATGTTTCAAAAATTCTATGGAAGCCTTTTAAATCATCTTGTTCCCTACACTGAAAATATTTCAGTCAAGCCTCTCTTCAATTTGCATTACCTCAGTCTGTTTCAACTACCATTAACTCGCTCAAAATTTGTTCAGTTCATGGAGGATCTTGCCTTAATTATAACCCTAAATCATTAGGGTTGTTTTTAAAAACATTTCGTTGAGTTTAAGAGAAAAAAAAAACTGTTATTCACCAGCCTAGGTCGGTCCGTATTGTGAAAAGGTGTGCACTCTGTCCTAAGTG